AAAAAAAAAAAAATACACCCCAACTGACGCAGAAATGAAGATAATTCATAACAGCTGAAAAATTACTCCATATGCATGCAGAAATATAGTAATAATTCCATTTATTTGTTAACATTTTAATTTGCAAAGCATTTATATTCACTCATACAATTCAGCAAATGAATTCCAGATCTTTCTAAGATCCAGACATTAGATACTGAAGAAGCAGTGGTAATGAAGAGATGAAAAACATATGCCTTCCTCTCAAGTTGCTCAGAGCCAAGTGACAGAAAGAAATGAATAAATTATTACAGTAGGGTGAAAGAACACTGCATGGATTTTTATGAAAAGTCACAAAAGAGTAACTTCCTGAGGAAGCAATATCTGATCAACTGTAAAAAAAAAAAAAAAAAAAGCTAACATAACCATGAGGCACATTCATAAAATTCATCATTCAGAACCCCTCTTCACTGGTTCAACCATATTTAGAGAGTTGGATTCAATTATAGGGACCCTATATTTAAAGTGATATTATCCAAATAAAGTAAAAATCAGAGGATACAATTGGGACCAAAAAGTCAGAAATCAAATTTGAGTACTTAATTCATAGCAGCTATTTGCCATGTGGGGCACTTGGTGGGCTCTCAATTGACAGATGTGACATCCAAGAAACAAATGTGAAATCAGATCACAGAATCTTTCTTAACGGAAGATCCTCTACTTACCAAAATGGAAAAAAAATAAGTTAAAAGCAACAAAATAAATTGTACACATAACTGTCTTGTAATTTCCAAATGATAGTTATTATTTTTAACTGATATGGCCGACAGACGTTATCCAACCACACCACAACACTCAAGCTGAATCACCTGACTTTACAGTTGAAAAAGCCCACAAAAATTATCATTTGCAAACTAGGTAAATATGGACACAGAGGTTTTGTGATATATTCCTTTACTAGGAAGACCATAACAAAATACTGTAGAATGGGTGACTTAAACAACAAAAATGTATTTCTCACAGTTTGGGAGGCTATAAGTCCAAGACCAAGAGGACAGCAGGTTTGGGTTCTCATAACGTTTCTCTGTTTGATTCACAGATAGTCTGCCATCTTTTTTTTGCATCCAGCTGGATTTCTGTGTGGACACATACCTTGTTTCTCTTTTTTTCTTAAGAGAACACCAATTATATTGAATTAAAGCCCCATGCTCATTTAACCTTAATTACCTGTTCAAAGTAACATTGGGGGTTAGGGTTTCAACATACCATTGCCTCAAAATGTACCCATTCAGGACTAATGTCATCAATGATCTCACCACTACACAATACTTTGCTAGAGATAGAGGTAGCAGATACTTTGACCTACCTCACTCATATGACCCCTTAACTGGGAATGACGCTACCCTCAGTTTGGCGCCCCCAAGCCTTGTTTATATTATACAAAGCCTCTACCCATCTGACCTTGGCTGATTAGGAAAGTAGGAGAGAGACACCTAAAACAATTTGAGCCAGTCAAGCTCTTTATCCTTTGAGGACTTAAAATTGGACTCAAGCATCCAATTGGTTGTCTGAAAAGTCTTGATATACAGTTAAAAGCTGAGGCTGTTGCCATTAGGTGGACATCTTCATCTGTGTTCAAGAAGATAAAACTAATCTGTACATAGAGAAAGAAAAATGAGTAAATCAGCAAGAGTAAACAGTGCAGCCCCAGAGGGAATATGCCTAAAACACTGAATCCTGTTCCTAACTCATTTTTCTTTCCCTGTGTACAGATTAGCTTTATCCTCTAAACTTCCAAGTTCTTGGTGCCAGTGATACTGGATTTTTGATACTGAATTTCCAGGCTCTTGGTCTCAGCGGTTCAAAAACTGAAGCGACAGCCCACAGGATAGGTTTTATTCAACAGGTATAAGTGTTATAGCTCTTACAATAAGTCAAAACTCCTTGTAGAGTAGGATTAGTAGTAAGATAGGTTTTATAATCTGAGTGTTACAGCTCTTACAAAGGGGCAAACCTCTTTACAAGTGTTTACAGCTCTTATAAAGGGGCAAATCTCATAGAGCAGGATACAAGTGTTACAGAGCCAAAACTCTTTGCTCTTCTGCTCTTTCTCCTGAGATCTGCCCAGGTTTGTGCTTAGGCTCTCTGGCATATATAGAAGCAGTTGTCCAATGAGCTTTCGGGTCCTGAAAACAGACTAATCATGAGCAGGTTTTGAAAACAGACCAATCATGCACTGGAGGAATTGCCAGAAGTCCACGTGAGGAGACAGCACAGAGTCAGTGTCTTCCCCTGCTTGTGTTTGGTTCTTTTGGCTACTGGAGCCTCTGTTGGGGAGAGGGAAGCTCTCCTCCCCCTCCCCCCCAATGCCACCCCCCACTTGCCTATGCTCCAGCTTGCTGGTTCCTCTGCCGGCTGCTGCCAACACCGCCAAGATGGAGGCAGCAGGTCCTCCAGCCCCGCCTGGCTGAGCTGGCTGGGGCACCACTTGTCCGGTATCACCAGTCCCCTATTCCCTCTCAGAATTCCTGTACCCATTATCCATGACACACTAGAAGTAGCTGGAGGGATTCAATGCACAGATACCTGACTCAGATCACTTGGATTCACGTTTTAGGGGCAATATTTATTAGCTATGGGACCTCAAGCAATTTACTTAATCACTCTGTGCTTTCATTACCTCCTCTTCTAAAAGTGGATGATAAGAATAATGACTCTGCCCAGCAAACATATGAAAAAATGTTCATCATCCCTAGTCTTCAGAGAAATGCAAATCAAAACCACCCTGAGATATCACCTAACCCCAGCTAGAATGGCCCAAATCACCAAGTTCCATTGCTGCAGATGCTGGTGCAAATGTGGAGTGAAGGGGCCCCTTATATGGTGTTGGTGGGACTGCAAACTAATACAGCCTCTTTGGAAAGAAGCACAGAGAAGCCTCAAAATGGACCTTTCATTTGATCCTGCAATCCCATTACTAGGCATCTCCCCAGAAGAAAAAAAATGTTTATCATAAAGACATTGTTTATCTCAGATCATCAATTTACAATTGCCAAAATGTGCCCATCAACCTATCATGGATTAATAAACTGTGGTATATGTATACCATGGAATATTATTCAGCCATTAAAAAGTTAGAGACTTTGGATCTTTTGTATTAATCTAGATGCAATTGAAACACATTTGTCCTAGTATAAAGTATCACAAGAATGGAAAAGCAAATATCCAATGTACTCAATACTAATATGAAGCCAGTAGATGAACTAATACACACCCACACAAGAAAAAAAGCTCAATTAAAGTTGGGGAGAAGAGAATGAAGCAAGGGGGGAGGGGAGGAAGGAGGGAGATTGGTGTGCTCCCGCTTAATGGGCACAATGTAAAGGTATATGGCACACTTCTTGGATAAGAGACACCACTACAAGAGGGACTCCACCTAACAAATGCAAACACTGTAACCTAATCATTTGTACCTCATATAATCCGAAATTTAAGAAAAAAGAATAG